ACTCCAGCAGCAATTGAAATAGGCAACCAAACAGAAGACGACAGTTGCAGTTTGAAACAAACACATACGAAAGAGTAGTCTGAACCCTTACTTCTGAAACCCCACTGTGTTCAAAAAGCTCTCATGTCACATATACGGCATTAGTGAGCTAAATAAACAACCTGCTGCACACTGCAACAAATTACCTTTGAAATAATGTTGGTTGCAGTCCGGAATAAACAACCATAAAAACTGTTCCGTTCTGTTTGGTTCTGAATTAAACCTCATAAGGCAAATATTTGTTAATAATCTTGGTTGCAATCATCATAGGATAAAAGTTAAGTCCGAGTACTGCACACTAATTGAAGTGTTTCATTGGAAAAGTTAAAGCAACCTAAATTCAGAAGCCCAAAGAAACCGTTTCCTTGTTCAGAACCCTGTTGCTGCATCTGTACTGTAGTAATACAAAAAAGGTGGTGGTGTGGGAGGGGGGGGGGTGCTATAGTTGCCAAATGAGTGTCATACATGAAAAGAAATCAAGCCCTTAGCTAACGTATAGCGGTGCTAGAGCTCCTTGCCGTCAACAAGCGTTTGTTTTCAAAAGCGTTGCAGCATCAGCAGGAAGAGAAGGAGAGAAAATAACCTAGCAATATTGGATGAGACCAACCTTCACAGCTTGTGGGGAACTTCCAGGAAGAACCAACCATGGTCCCGGGTGAGCACCGGGGTGTAACCTCATAAACTAATGATGCTACCTGCTGCTCCTTGTTGCATTCTTTATCAAATTCAGGATGCTACCTGCTCTCTTGTTGCATATCATAAATAGAAAGGTGTGATAGGCTGATAGCTCGCTGGTGCCCCTACACCTTCTATGAACAGTAAACTGAAAAAAAGAAAAAAAAACTGAAACTTTGCAACATTGAATATGCTCAAACGTTTTAGGTTCTTGCAAATTTTCATAACGAAATATCAAGTAGAGAAAGGTGTACACATGAGTTTCAGATTTCAGTGCTAAAAGTGCTCAAAACATTGAGAACTGAAATCTTTTTCTTGTTTTGAGCTCCTTGAATGTTTTTCCTGCATAAAAACCTGCAAGCACCTACAAAGTTTAAGCATATATGATGTCGCAAAGTTTCTGTTTTTCTTTCTATTTTTCTGAATTTACTGTTCATAGAGGGCGTGCCTGCACGCAGGAGTTGAAAAACCTGTCTCTAATTCAGACTGTACTCGTATTACTGAAACCTCAGTATACATATCTCTTGGTAAAAGAAAGGAAATGATGCTACTCGAGGAGCAACAAAAAACAATAGTTTTTTTTTAGAAAAGGAGGATTACCGCCGGGCTCTCTACATCAGAATAATGCATGCATCCCCTTTATTAAGCAAAGTATAAGAAATGGTGGTGGTCCAGGATAAGCTCGCTCGGAGCTGAAAACGTAATCAAGAAAGTAAAAGTTGCCACAAAAGGCAAAAATATGACGAGATGACTAAACACCTAGCCTATTATTGGACCGCCATGTAAACAGATTGTAGATATCCCGAGCTACCATCTCCCATCGAGTAGACCAAGTAATCAAAGACTCCCTGGCTTTCGCAGGAGTGAGTAATGACTAAATACGGATCCAAGCAGTGGCCCTGTAGATAACCTGCAAAAAAAATATTAGTTTGTCTATTAAAAACCATATCATTTCTATAGTTTCATATAGTCCAAAGTAATGCACATACTCAAATCCGAATATATCTCGCAGTATTTGTCTCTACTCCATTTAGCCATGTTTCAAATAACGTGTGAATACTATTTGGAGGGGCGATATTAGATGCTATATGAATTGATCGCTATAAAAGTCTGGCCAGCGGACAATCGAGAAAGAGGTGTTTGATAGTTTCATCTTGATCACAAATGCTACATCTGTGACTACCCTACCATTTACTTTTTGCCAAAGTTATCTTCAGTCAGAACCACCTCCTGTTTTACCCCCTAAAAAAAAAGAACCACCTCCTGTGAACAAACCACATGAAGACTTTGATTCTAAATGGAACCTTGATCTTTCAAATATGTATCAATTTCGGAATCAGACCAGAGTCAGTTACGTCCATATTTATAAATTTCACTGAGAGGATGCCATTCATAGCTAGTTAATCAACAGTGAATACTATCAGGCTCATCAGAGAGGTTAACATCCATCACCTTCTCACTAGATGTAGCCATGCTTCCCATCGGTATCCTACTAAAGATCTCCAAAATTTAATATTTAAAGGATGAGAATATAATACTGTAGCAACATAAACCTCCGTATGTTGTACAGCGTTATAGAGAAAACGATAGCTTGGTTCCGTTCAATAATCAAATCATTGCTTATCAAGAAAAAACGAATACCGCCTGAATTTTCACGCCTTGGCGCCCCCGTGCTTCACGGCCAGCCGCCGCCTGTGACCGCGCGCTGTAACGCCAACCCGCCTCACCGCCGACCAGCGGTGCCGCACTGCACCACCACTCCCTCAGCACTGCCCGCCGCCGCTTTATCACACCACTACTGCCTCACCGCCGCCAACCCCGCTCGCTTATTCCAATAGGACAGATAGTGCTCTAGCTAATCCTAACTCGGACACCGGCATGCAACTGCAAGCCAACTCCTACACGTACATGACTTGTTACTTTTGGAACAATTAAGTCACGTAACATGCAAACACGATTCCTAGCCAGACTAATCAACTTATGTAGAAACTAATTAACCTACTAGTCATTGTATGGATTATTCCACGGAAAAACTAACGCCCACATGTGTGGGCGTTTGCACATCGCTAACACGCCACTTCATCACTCATTTTGAGACATATAAACCGATGACATCAGCAGAAATCTTTTTGGTTTTTGACTTAAAAATGTTTTATCTCCTAATTAAAAAAGCGAATTAAAAATCCGTTTTCACCATTAAATCTGTCTCGATGAGATCTTCAAAACTAGATCCCATGTTGATATGTTTCGATGAATTTTTTTTTGCCTAAAAGTTGCTATGATGTTTACACTGTAGTTGCCATGGTGCTTAAACTAAAGTTGCCATGTGGCAATTTTAGTTTGTGGATCATGGCAATTTTAGTTTTTGATGATGGCAATTCCAGTATTTTGGCCATGAAAATATTTTTTTGCATGAACCATGGCAATTTTAAGTGCATGTATCATGACAATTTTAGTTTATGGTGCATGGCAAGTGTAGTTTCTTAATTCTCCATTTTATAACATGTCAAAATTTACTTTTTAATATAGAAAAAAATAGCTGAAACATAACATGGCAACTTTAGTGTACACATCATGGCAATTCATGTGCAATACACATGGCAACTTTTAACCAAAAAAAACTTCGTCGAAATATATTGATATGAGATCTAGTTTTGAAGATCTCGTCGCGAGGGATTTAATGGTGAAAACGGATCTTGAATCAGATTTTTTATTTAAGAGATAAAACATTTTAAAAACTGAAAATCCAAAAAGATTTTCACATGCATGCATGCGGTGACATGGCGTAGTCTGTATGTTATAGGGCGTGTGAGCGGGTTTGGCTCCCACCACACGTGTGGGCGTTAGCGTTGTCCTTATTCCAAACAGGAAGATTGCTGCAGGAAGAGGAAGCAGATCGGGAAGAAGCTTGTGGGATGGTGGGAAAGGCCTGTACTTTGGGCCAGTTAATGACCCTAGGTGTGCGTCGGCGCGTAAGATCGGGGGAGGAAGGAAACTGCAAGAGAGGTGTTTTTTTCTGCAAAGAGAAAAGGATGTGCTTTTTGGTATCCTGTGAAAGATTTCACTCTAGAGGCTTGGACATGTGACAATGGACAAGGGCTCCTAAGGATATCTCAACGAACGGCTATATATCTAATTAATACAGAGATTGTACAGATAGTTTGACAATTAACGTGGAGCATCAAATGGTGCATCCAGGTAATCAATACAAGAGATTTAACATGGAGCCTCGAGTGATGCATCCGATTACAAAATATAAGATAGGAGCAGATAGAATGTGGATTGACATGTTTAAAATATCGTGCAGTGTGTCTAGATTGCAAATAAGTACAACAGTGCAGTTAATAATAATGAAGTACCCCAATGTAAACTCCATTTAGAGCATGACTTGTCATTTCGTGTTTGCACTCCAAGTTTGAGAAGCAGGCCCTTGAGAGTTGGTTTCTACAAGAGAATAGCCTGCCACAAGTAGGCAGCAGCCTTCAAGATCAAGCCTAGAAGGAAACGAAACAAGAACGAAAATGTTAACGCCCACACGTGTGGGCGTTTGCACATCGCCCACACACCTTCATCACCACTCATTTTGCCACGTATGAATAGATGACATCAGCATAATTTTTTTTTTTGGTTTTTGGCTTAAAAATGTTGGATCTCCTAAATAAAAAAGCGAACTAAAAATCCGTTTTCACCATTAAATCCGTCTCGACGAGATCTTCAAAACTAGACCCCATGTTGATATGTTTCGGCGAATTTTTTGTTGCCAGAAGTTGCCACGATGTTTACACTGCAGTTGCCATAGGGTTTAAACTAAAGTTGCCATGTGGCAATTTTAGTTTGTAGATCATGGCAATTTTAGTATTTTGATGATGGCAACTCCAGTACTTTGACCATGAAAATTATTTTTTGTATGAACCATGGCAATTTTACATGCATGTATCATGGCAATTTTAGTTTATGGTTCATGACAAGTCTAGTTTCTTAATTCCCCGTTTTATAAATGTCAAAATTTACTTTTAAATGTAGAAGAAAATAGCTGAAACATATCATGGCAACTTCAGTGTAAACATCATGGCAATTCATATGCAATAGACATGGCAACTTTTAATCCAAAAAAATTTCATCAAAACATATCAACATGGGATCTAGTTTTGAAGATCTCATCGCGAGGGATTTAATGGTGAAAACGGATTTTCAATCGGATTTTTTGTTTAAGAGATAAAACATTTTAAAAACTGAAAATCCAAAAAGATTCCTGCATGCATGCATGCGATGACGTGGCAATCTGTTTACATTAGAGATGTGTGGTGCATCTCCCTTCCTGCCACACGTGTGGCAGTTAGCGCGACCCAACAAGATAAGGGTGGACTTGTCCGCCTGCCGCAAGCATGCACATCATCATGGCCGCAGATTAACATCCCATTGAGCATGTCCATAACTTGGAAGACGCCCCGGCCATTGCTTCGCTGAAATTAGGCAACCAACCAACGAATCCTTATTTCGATTCAGTATTTCAAGATTCTAGCATGTCCTACTGAGTTGCAGCAGCTGCTGGCATAACCTTGTAGTAATCCACAGCCAAGAAGTTAGCCCAACGGTTGCCGGCAGCAGCATGGCACGTGTGGAGCACCTCCATGAGCCCTCGTGAGTGCTCCATACATGATGTCCCTTGGACCGGCGGCATGCGGAAATAGTTCACAAGAACCAATGATTTAGTTCTGTCGCCTAGGACAGCCGATTCCGAGTGGTTGCGGCAGGCACGAGAGTTCATTCCGACTTCACCATCTGCGATAAGAGACGGCGAACGTGTAAACTACTAGAGCAAATCATATTTATCTTGAGACATTAATTAACTGAAGAGAATAAAAGTCTGAAGCTTAAACTCACACATGTTTTCGACCATATAGTTCCATTGGTACGCAATTCCTTCACTTGACTCCTTGAATCGGTTGGAGGTGAAGACAAGGAGACACTGGTTCAGCTTGATCATGTCGTTGACCCGGGGCCAGTCCTCCCCGTTCCGTGGCATCCTCGATACCGGAAACCAGTACTTGGTGAGGCCTGTCTTGATGAACAGCTTGGAGAGGCCACGGTTAGACTTGACATGGTCCTCGAGGATGAGTGTCACCACCTCTGACGGGTTCATTACAAGAAAGGCCTCTATCTCCCTCATGGTACCTATGGCAGGCTCCTACGTAAATAGTTACTGGTCACATTAGGATATATGATTCTGAAACATTTTAATGGCCATCCATTCAGAGAACAATTCTGGTCACTCACAAAGGCGGTGGCATCCCAGCACATTCCTCCGAGTGAATGGCACAACCATATGTCCTCCCGGAAGTCGTATACGTCAAGCATCAGTGCTCTGACGCCATTCTGCCAAAAAGTGCATGCCATTCAGAATCATAGCGCGAAAATTTCAGAATCAACTGGCAAGCGGGAGTGGCTCTCTTACATTCAGTTGATCTGTGACCGAATCTTCCTGGTTGAACAATGTGATGGTTGGGATATCCGTTATTGAGAATGAGTTGTGCGTCGTGAGGAGCGCATACTTGTTGAATGGCAGTGAGTTGTCCTGGTGAATTCGTATTATTAGCTTTGTTAGGACTCAGGAATACATGCTAGTTTATGTTTTATTTTTTCAGAAAAAAGGAGGTTGGAACACCCGGCCGGCCTCTGCATTAATGTGATGCACATAGCCATTTATGTTGAAGTTGATGTAAGGTCAAGCCAGTTTGTATCTACGTTATTTGTGGTATACTTGATAGTTTTACTGATAATGTGTAGTACATGGCCAGTGAGTGATATCTATAGTATCAACAAATTGTCAGGATAAAAAGAATAATCAAATGGCAAAACAAAAGTGCACAACAAAACATACAACTGTTTTGAACGGGCTAGCAACTGTTGTTCGGACACATCTTTTACTGGTGCATCCAGTTCCAGTCCACTTGCGGCAAGATAGTCCCGACTTGCAGCTGGCATCTGAGGAACATCGATCCCCAACCTGCAAACTCGTTGTCGAAAAGAATTGTGAAATTTTTGAAGAGTTTAGAGTTATCTATTTATGTTGACTAGTGAGAAAGATAGACAGGATACCCGATGGACGATTCTATGTGGTACAACAAAGGCTAACGTGATGACAAACAACAGAAACAATGTCACTCCTCTGTATTTACGTTCCTGCTGCGACTCTGAAAAGCATAAGATAACAAGTTTTCCAATTTCAGGAATCGATGGCATCATCATTGATTTATTGGATTAAAAGCACATGACGTTACCTGGATGGTGTGGAGGTCTTGATAACACACGCACCTTTCTTCTGACAATGAAAGCTCGGCAGCTCGGGAGTAAACTACACCGGTGGCCACCGCCAGATGTGAGGACGTGAACGCGATGGCCATGACATAAGATGGTTGGGCGACGGCATCGTTTTTTGTGGTGGAAGAAGGTGGTTGGGCGACTGCATGATTTTGTGTGGTGGTGCAGGGAGGCTATCATGTCAACGATGAATGCAACGGGCGCTGCCATTGTAACCAAACAGGCGCCAAAGAACATCATGATGATGAACACCATGGAATAAGCTGGCAGCAAGAGGAGATCGAAGAGAATGCCAGTGAGGAAATCTGAGAGGCCAGCGGAGCCGTCCTCCGCAGGTGCAGGAGGCGAATTATCCGCAGACATGGCCATACCCAGCTTACATGTCAGCCACGAGAAGTTGGCGATGGCATTCTTTTCAGCGATGAAGAGGCGGTGGCTTGCACTTCTCCCACTGCGCAGCTTGCATATCAGTATCGAGATGAGGATGGGGATGTTTTGAAGGTCAAGCTCACATATCAGCCACGAGATGAGAATATCCCCAGCGTCAAAGGCCTTGCAGATTCTGCGGAAGATGGCCAGGAGGCTTGTTCTTAGTCTACCTCTCATTCCGTCCGGACTGGGAGGTGGAACAAGCAAGGAGAAATGGTGTGGACTGTTGAATGTTTTAGTAGAGTCTGAGCCGAACTAAAGATGGTTGGTGGCGTCAACGAAATACTATGATCTAGGGATGTATGAAAATTATTTGAGCAAAGTACGTGGCATTGTTAACTTTCCACGTTCCACAAAACTTCATCCTGTCATGTATTTACCAAACTAGCTATAGCATAGAGGCCCACGCTATGCTGTGCTCAACATACTTTTTTCCGAACGGGCTAACCGCCTTTCGATTAATTAAACGTAACAAAAATATATCGATGTTGAGTAGCAAACCCACCACTCATTGTCAGCGAAATGGACGGTGATATCCACGCGAGCTAGTGGAGAGAACATATGAGGGAGGCAGAAATCACATATCTGACCTCACGCAGAAATCAAATCACAAACTGACCTGGTCACGAAAAAAATTCACTCTGCTGACCCTTTGGTGTGGCGCCCGACAGCCGGGCGCCGCACCCTACTGTGCAGCGCCCTTCCCTTAGGCGTCGCACATCCTGCCAGTGTGGCAGCCCTGTTCCAGTTGCGGCCCCACACGCACCTGTGCAGCGCCTAAGAGCTAGGCGCCACACACCTGTAATGTGCAGCGCCTAGCTCTTGGGCGCTGCACAGCCTGTGTTCCACTTGGGCTGGCCCCACCCTCTCTTCCCTCCCACCCCCACCCCACACACCCCCACCCGACCCAAACCCTTAGACTTGCGGCCCTCCTCTCTTCCCCTCTCCCCCCTCTCAAATCCTTCTCAAATCTTGCAAATCCGGAGTATTTGACCGTGGATTTCGAAGCCAACCCCTTCCTTAAGGTAATCTCCTCCGATCCCCTCGTTTTCATCCATAGGAATTGTCACATTTGCTCAAATCTTGCTAGTTTGGGGAAACCCTAGATTTTGATAGGATTTGGAAATTTGTGTTGAATGATGTTATATTTCTTTGCTAGTGGGGGTTAGGGTTGACCAGTAATTCTCGGTTTTGTAGGCATGGCTTCATCCAGTTCCATGACGAGGCCACCATGTGCTAACCAAGAAGACATGCCGAACAAGTGGGAGGACACATCTTTGGACAAGGTGAAGGAGAAAGATGTCAACATCCCGCCTTGTTGGTGTGGAGATGTTTGCAAGGTGAAGGTGTCCACCGACCGAAAGAAAGCATGGACGGAAGGGCGGAGATATTTTGTATGCCCGAACTATGCTTATGATCGTGCACTTCCAACTAACGCCTATGACCAACCACCGGTAAGCTCGAGAAGTAAAATGTTACTCTCAAATGTGTGTCAACACTAACAACAAATTTTTATGCAGTCACCGCCTCCTCTATGCAAGTACTTCACGTGGATAGATCTTGAAGTGCCAGAAGATGTGAAAAAGGACCAATACACAGATTGTCTTAGGCGGCAACGACGGTTCGAAGAATCGTTTCGAAGAGGCTTGGAGGAAGAGCGTCGTCAGAAGGAGAGGATGGAGCGGAAGAAACGAGAGGAGGAGAGGGCACGCCAAGCGAAACTTACTCGTGAGGAGGAGAGGGCAAGAAAGCTTGCAAAGGCTCGCGAGGCGCAAGAGAAGGACTCGGCACGTGACAAGAAGGGGAAATGGCCTCGCTCTACTCAGTAGGGACTTCGCTTCAGTGCACTCGTCGTCAACTATTTTCTAATGAATGTGTCATGAAGTTGTGAGGGCATGTGAGATGTTGGTGAACTATCTTCTAGGGCAAGCTGCCATTTGTCATTTGTAATGAATGTGTCGTGAACCATGTCGTAGTAATGTTTGAATTGTCTTAAGTTATGAACTCGTCGGCTTAAAATTTGTGTTTGTTCAAATTGTTGTGATGCTGCAGTCATTGTAAGTATTGTGGATGTGATGCAAGCCAACTGTGGCTCTCTGGATCGTCATGGAAGTAGTGCAGCGCCTAAGGACAGGGCAACAATGCAAATTTGATAACTATTTTTCAAGCAAGCATGAGAAAGGACTAAAGTAATGACCTCCTTACCTGCTCAGGCGTAATCTTGTCCAACTCGGCAATGTACTTTTGGTACATGAGATTGACATCGTTCGTCACCTCGGAAACGATATCCCACTTGTAAGCCCACGTGGGGCGCCGTAATTCGTCATGTTCATCTGCATACCAAGGATCAAACCTGACGCTCTTCGGGCGTCCAATAGGCAGACGCTCCCAGCTCCATACAGAAAGTAGAAGCAGATTACCACCAATGCCTGCACTAGGTGTGATCCTGCAACACGCATCATCCAGCTACATATGAAAGAAAAACAATGTTAACTTGACAGCAAGCTTGCATTGCTAAAGAATAAATGAGTTGATCACAAAACAGACCAACTACCTGTCGGTACAAGTAGGCAAGAGTCGCTGAACCCCATCTCCATTTGCTATCGAAGACGGTCAACGCCTTCAGCCACATCCATGGAGCGTTCTTGCCAGTGGAGTCAGGAAACAAAGTCCTCGACACAATGTACCACATATACACACGAGCATGTGTCTGGATCACATCATCAGTTGCATCCGGAGGGCACGTCGCAAAGTTATTTTGAATCCACGTGAAAGCAGCTCCGGCTGCCTTCCTTTCCCTCTTCTTCTTCTCTTCTCCCTCCTCTACACCATCCTCAGCCTCGGTAGGAGCCATACCGATAAGAGCAATCATCAGAATCGGTGCTCATACATAGAGGCCTCCCGTTGATAGCAAGACCGGTGATCAACGAGACATCCTCGAGCGTCACGGTCATCTCCCCGGTCCGAAGATGGAAACTGTGGGTCTCTGGCCTCCACCGATCAACAAGAGCGGACACCAGTGGAGCGTTCAGATTCGGCGTGGACCGGCTGACCAACAGAATCCACGGGAGTAGTCCTGCCTGCTTGATGTACGATGTGTACCGCTCATCGTAAGGCATGGCAGGACCAGAGACCCCGTGATACGGAATCTTCAGAGGTTCAAGCTTCTGCAAAAAACAAGTAATGACAAATCTTAGGGCATGTAAATTTCAACTAAAGGCAAATTTGCAAAATATTTAGATTACTCATTATTACCTTATCCTTCTCGCGCATCATGTAGGCCCGGTGTTGCACGTCGTAGACATCGTCCAGAAGCCAAACCATCCTTACATTTTCAAACAATAAACATATAAAAGTTCATCTTCATCTCAAATATCGGTATACACTAAACATATAACATGTGTTCAACTACAAGAATCTTAACATCTCCTTCTCACACAATGAATATGTCATATGTGTTCAAATAAACTAAACATCTAATATTTCAAATAAACTCAACATCTAATATTTGAAATAAACTGTTCATCTAATATATATCTAAACAAACTTCTCATATATGTCTACAAAAATCAACATCTCATAGTTATCTATAAAAATAGGCATCTCAT